CCCTGACATAATCACCCCTAGATTCCCTCTTCAGAAAGACTCACATTTTCAGCCCAAGTGCATCTGTCTCGGAGGTGGGGGGGGGGGGGGATATAAATCAGAGTACTGGTTGCATCATCCAGGCTCCGAGTGATCACTCCTTTAGCTGGGGGTCCGGAACTATTGGCCTTCTGCTTTCCCTGACTGAAAGCCAGGAGTGTAAGAATGGTTGCCTTCCAGGGCAGTAGTGGGCAAGCTAGGAGACGCAGGACCTCCCTCTTCAGCGCTTCTTGACCTGCGTTTCTGTAGAGCTGCCTTGTGCCCCTGTGGAGCCTAGGAAGGTTTATCTGCTCCCCTCACTTCCCCACTTCCGTGCTGTGGGGAGCGGGGCAGTAGGTCTGGATTTCACCTTGTCTGTCTGTTGTTTACTGCCGTCCTGCCTCTTTCCACGCCATCCTTGCCTCACCGCAGTCCCGTGCCTGAGATTTTATTCCAGATTCTGGAGACCTAGGAAAGTTCTGGCATCTCTAATCTACCATCTTCTCCCCACCCCCAGAGTCATTTCTTTAGAAATAGAAACCTATTGTCATACTAATACGCTTTCTAGAGGGTCATTTACAGCTTGTAATATTTACTTATTGCGTAGTTAATACTTCAGATTTCATTTGCCCACACTGACTTCAAAGGGTCAGATAGCCATCGGTTTAAGACAAGGATCTGGCAAGGATACAAAGTCACTTATTTCTCAAAGGAACTCAGTATATTTTACATGGAACATGCACAGGTAATAAAGTGGGTGTTCTATTTTGAGAATTAAGAAGTTTGGTTTTATTCTCACAGGATTAATAACAAATATTTAATAGCTCTTTCAAGATTTAATTATTTTAACTCATTAGCTCTAAGCATCTCCCCAACGTAGATGTCAAGATGCAGAATCAGAACGCAGTTCAGTACATAGTCCACTAAGATTTGCCTCTTTTGGGGGGAAGAAATGAGTCTCTGGAGGCGCTTCAATGACCGCTACATTTTTTTTTTGATCAGAGAAATTTCTCTTTGTAGCTTTGTTTATTGCAGCTAGTGTTTGGTTATTGAATATGGAATATAGTGTCTTTGCCTGGACTTTCATTTTATGGCAAAGAGTTACTGTTAGGTCTTGACATCTGTTATAAGACTTGCTTGTACTGAAAAGTAATGCCATGTCCAAATCAATGCCTTAGAATGAGTTAGCTATGCAGCTTAAAATTGAAAACATAGGTCTAAAGAAAAAAAAACCACCACATGGTCCATTTGGAAAATGGATAGTATTTTCTGTAACTAGAAATGTTAATTGATCATAATAAATATTGAGCTCTTCTTTCTGGATTATGATGGTGAAGGTAGCACATTGTCTTTAACACATATGACATTCTTTGCATGGTTGTATGTGTGCATATGTGAGTCTAGGTGTATATACATGAGTATGTATGCACACGCACATGTGTGTGTGTGTGTGTGTGTGCGTGTGCGTGCATATGTGTGTGTGTATGTATGTGCATGCACACATGCAGAGGTCAGATGTTGATGTGAAGGATCTTCCTCAGTTACTACTCACCTGAATTTTTGAAGTATGGTCTCTCACTAAAGCCGGAGCTTGTTTGCTGGCTAAACTGGCTAGCCAGCAAGCCCAGGGAGTCCATCTCTGCCACCACAGTGCTGAAATGACAGGTGCATGCTGCAGAACTCTGCTGTTGTCATGGTTGCTGGACTCCAAACCCAAGTTCTTCTGCTCTGTGTAATGAGCACTTTACTGACTGAGCCATCTCCCCACTCACCAATACTTTTTATGTCTGGAATGTAACCAAACTTAAAGAAGACATTTAAAAATACAGTAAGAAGTCAAGATGAATAATTGGCATAACAATTTATAAAACAGAAAAATCTATATATGTTTAAAGTAAAACTTAACTCTCAGTTTCCTACAAGGCAAAATGTGGAAGGAAACATGTTGACCACCTCTTCCATTTCTCTTTTGGAGACAGGGTCTCACTATGTAGCCCTGGCTCACCTGAAATTCACTATGTAGACAAGGCTGGCCTTGAACTCATAGAGTTCTGACTACATCTGATGAGACTAAAGGCCTGGACCATCATGTTCAGACAACACATTCTTTTTGTTCAAAAATTATTTTACTCATTCCTCATGAAGATTTTATTGATGGGCTGGCGAGATGGTTCAGAGGTTAAGAGCATTGACTGCTCTTCCAGAGGTCCTGAGTTCAATCTCCAGCAACCACATGGTGGCTCACAGCCATCTACTATGAGATCTAGTGCCCTTTTCTGGTGTTCAGGCAAAACATGCAACCAGAATACTGTATACATAATAAATAAATAATTATTCTTAAAAAAGAATTTTATTGAGGAACAATTTGGTGAACTGGAAAAATGCATCCCCTGTAAAAATCTTAGTGTTGCCTATAAGTTCAGGCAGTTGTCCACAAGTTATTGGAGCATTGTTTTAAGAGTGAAGGAAGGTTCAGATATCTACTTCTATAATAATTTGAGGGTAAGTTTACCCAGTCAATGTAACTATAAGTTTTGTAGAATTGGGGGTCTGGAGAGATGTTCAGAGGGAAGAACACTTGCTACTTTTGCAAGAGAGCCTAGATTTCCCAGCACCCACTCCTTATGGCCTACAGCTACCTGTAACTTCAGCTCCAGGGAAATCAATCTGACACCTTTATCTGGCTTGTAAGCACCTGCACACATGTTGACAGAAGTTTCTGTCCTGCCCAGTCCCATAGCCATTCAGTACCAAAGAAACACACAGAGGTCCCCATTAATTGTAAACTGATTGGCCTATTAGTTCAGGCTTCTTATTAATTCTTTTAACTTATATTAGCCCCTAATTCTTGTCTGTGTTAGCCACGTGGGCTTGGTACCTTTTATCAGCAAGGCAGTCTCATCTTGCTTCCTGTGTGTCTAGATGATGGCTGCAGACTGAGCCTCTGGTCACCGCGCCTATACCTCCTGCCTGGCTACTGGCCAATCGGCATTTTATTAAACCAGTAAAACTTGTTAGGAAAAAATCCTAAGACAGGCAGCTCTGCCGGAACAAAGAAATCCAATTAGGTCAGATCAAGCCAAATTAAAATGCCCATAGTTTTATTAAATACAGAAATCTTTACAGGGTACAAGACCATTGTCCCACAGCACATACACAAGTTACACTGTCAAGAATCAGCCTCAGCAAAAACACTCCTTGCCAGAGTAAGGGTGTAGGGATTTAGAAATACAAGTAAAGAATACAAAGACACATGAAAAATAATAAAGCAGAAACCATAGAATAGTATTAGGACAGCATTTCAGTGAATATTGAAATCGTCCATGTTTAATTTTCCATATGCTTTTATACCTTAATACAAAAGGGGAAAAAGGCAACAAAAGACTTCTTAACATGATTCAAAGGACAACTCAAACAGTTAATTGCTTTAACACTTAGAGACATCAAGTCATTAGCATTTTGTTGTTTAGACAGTAAACTACCCTAGACCAAGTATCCTGAAGGCAGTCACTTCCCAGGAACTCATAATTACAAAAGAAGGAGCAGAAATACATTTGCATATCCTGACCATATGTCAGGATGGAATGGATCTACTTGTATGAACCATCTTAATGTCAAAAGAACCAGGTAATCACACCCTGAATTGGTACATACAGCTACACTTGTCAACCATTTTGAGCAACCTCCAAACTCTCTGACCATCAGACAAGGTGGAAATAGGCTCACATTTTTGGGCCTCCACAGTACACATATGTAAATTATGGCCCATGAATATTCACAAAATTTTTAAAAATTACTTTAAAAATATTTCTAACCAGGCTTGATGGAAAACACCTTTAGTCCCACCACTCTGGAGTCCAGGAAAATCTCTGTGATTTCAAGGCCAGCCTGGTCTACATAGAAAGAGTTCCAGGCCAACTAGAGTTTCACAGTGAGACACTATCTCAAAAAGTAAAGAAAGAAAAAAGAAAAAGAAACTGATAGCATTTTCAGATGCAAATGGAGGCACAGAATTTGAGAGCATGTGATAATTCTGAAATTAGAAATAGTAAGTAGATGGCATTGAAAACTTTATAGTCACAGGAATATTCACAGGAAATAGCAGAAGGAGCTCACTGAGTGGCTATGTAATTCATTTGAGTTCATTCACTTAAAAAACAGGCAAAGAAGGTTGGGTGGTGGTGGTGCACAACTTTAATCCCATGACTCAGGAGGCAGAGGCAGGCAGATCTCTGAGTTCAAGGCCAGCCTGTTCTACAGAGCAAGTTCCAGGACAGCTAGGACTTCACAGAGAAAGCCTATCTCAAAAAGAAAAAGGAAGGGAGACAAAAAACCAACAGACAAAGCAGATGTCATCAAAGAACTAGTGGTTTATTTTTTCGAGTTTCTCTCACATAAACTATTAGACTATGGTTCTATAACTCACCAAGAATAAAACTCTAATCTTTTTCCCCATAAAATATACTAATGGAATGATACTTTTTTTTGTTGTTTTTAGTTTTGGAGACAGGGTTTCTCTGTGTAACATCCTGGCTGCACTTTGTAGACCAGGCTGGTGTCCAATTCACAGAGAACTGCCTGCCTCTGCCTCCTGAGTACTGGGATTAAAGGCACGTACCACCACCACCAGGCTTGACATCATAATTTCTTTATACTCATTAAAAATATTTTCTCTGTCTCATTGAAATTTCTTGTTGCCCATAGGTTGTTTCAAAATGTATCATTTCCAAGTTTTACTGACTTTCAACTGTTTGTCTGTATTCTATATTGGAGAGCACAGAACATACCCCTGCAAAGAATATGAGATTTGGGGAGGCTGAATTTTCTATGATGGCGGTCAGATCCAGTAGACTGATGGAGGAGCTATCAACCTGCAACTTCCACGGTTCTCATGGAGATCACCTTGTTCCTGACAGTCAGGAAGGAAGAGCTGCAGAAGGTTTTTATGACATCATTGCCCTCAGATTCCATTGGTCGGAACTCTGTCATATTGTTTCACCTAATGGTATGGGAAGCTGAGACAGTCTAGTTTAACCCACAAAGAAGAAAACGTGTTTGGAGGAACAGCCAGCAATGTCTTTCTGTTCTCGGGAAGAACTTGTATAAGATAAGAAATGCTAGCATGGGTATACAGTAGAAATTGTAACCTTTTGGGGACCACCAGTTTCTTTGGGGGAAGTTTGTAGCTGCTGAGTCAATGTAATGAACTTGTGTTCCCTTGGGTTTTCTGTGACTTCTTTCTTTTTTAATTCCCTTTCTTCTTATTTTGAGTAAAAGCTCCTGATTTTATTGTCTTCCTAACAAAGTCATTTTAGAACTGGATTCCTTTCTCTTAGCCTCCGGTTCACAGGGCTCGTATCTCTTACCCGCCAGTGCCCTCATAGACCTGCAGACGGGCTCCACACAATCTTCGTGCGGTTTTAACCATTCTGAGGAAAATAGTCTTAGTCTGTCCATCGCAGCCATTCAGTTTCTGATCATAACGCCTTTCCCGCGGCACACAAGAATCATCGCCCTTCTCGTGTTGTGTCGCTTTTGTGGGGCTGTACTAGCCGCATTTCAATCAGAAAGTCCGTAAGACTCAGGAACATTCCCTGTTGGAGCGCTGACCAGCAGGTTCTGTCACTTCTTCATTCGCTTTGTAGAAATCATTTTTTTGGGGGGGAGGATATTTCTGTATTTTAAGTAAACTTTAAATTTATTAGTGTTTACTATTGATAGCGTTTTCTTATTCCCACTTTTGTTGTGTTTGTAATTGTGTTCTTTCTTCTTCTTCCTTTTTTCTGTTTTGTTTTGTTTTTTTTTTTTTGGGACAGGGTTTCTCTGAAGCTTTGGAGCCTGTCCTTGAACTAGCTCTTGTAGACCAGGCTGGCCTCGAGCTCACAGAGATCCACCTGCCTCTGCCTCCCAAGTGCTGGGATTAAAGGCGTGCGCCACCACAGCCTGACTTCTTTCTTCATTTTTAATATATTAATTTATGCTTCAATTTTTTCACTTGGCTATAAGATTATTATAAACTTGTCGACTTTATTACTCTTCCCACGAATCTCAATTTTTTTTCCATTGCTGGAGATTGCCCCAGGACTTTACTTATAATAGGCACACCCGCTACCACTGGAAGGAATTCAATAGTATAGAAAAGTTTCTATAAGCCTGTGCCCAGTAACAGCCCATTGACATTTTTTCTTATATAAATATTTTTTTCCTTTTTTATTTCAAAAATTAGAACATCCTACTTTTATACTATCTAAAATAGAGAAAAATCAAATGAATGAAGTAGAAAACAGACAATAACAAACACTCATGCAATCTCCTAAATGAACATTTTTATCATAGCAACTGTGTATCATTTGAAGGATCTAGAACATGAAAAAAAATCAGTGTGTATTTCTCCCGCTTACCCACAGATAATGGCCATCATAAATTTGACGTATTGCTGAGTATTGAGTGCTGAGGTTGCTGAAGTCTCAACACATGTGTGGTGTGTGTGTGTGCATGTGTGTGTCCATACCTAAGTCAAGAAACAGAACACACTCGGCATTGCCACGCTTCCCTTGGATATCCATGTCTGAATGCTTGTTGCTGCCCAGAGTTTTATCTATGAAGTTTATCTTGCTGTGCATGGTTATAGTTCATTCTTTCCCCATTGTCCTGGGATATTTGTGTCTTTTCATCAATTCTATCTTTAAGTTTATCCATTCAGCCACTGACATTTTTTTTTTGCGCATTTCCCAAATGTGTTGGGCTACCTCAAATCGCCCTGCTCTAAACACTCTGCTACAGATTTCAGCACATATGTGGACGTGAATTGTGTGTGTGCCCATTGGAGGAAATGCTGAATTGCCAGGTGTGCATCTATTCAGCTTACTAATGGAGCCAGTTTCCCAGAGCTTCCCCAAATCATATTCCCTCCAGCAGTGGACAAGACTTCAGATCCCTGTTCCCCTGTCAATAGTTTATTTTATCTTTTTCATTTTCCACATTATATATTGGACGTAGCCTTCATAACATTTTACTTGTGGTTTAATGTCTACTACACCTATAGTTAGTAAAGTTTTTACATGATTATTGTCCATTTAGCCATTTTTTTTCTCTTTTTAAAGTTCTTCATTTTCAGCACATTAAAACTATTTCCTTATTTATTTTTTATTTTAATCATAATATTTTAATTTATTCTTTGAGAACCCATCACCAAACCCACTAAAAAAAAGGATACATGTAAACTTCAAATTTTTAATTTTATTTTATTGAGACAGGGTGTCTCTACATAATGCTGACTGTCCGGGAACTCACTATGTAAACCAGGCTGGCCTCAAACTCACAGAGAGTGGCCTGCCTCTGCCTCCTGAGTTCTGGGATTAAAGATATGTCCCACCATGCCCAGCCCTAAAAGAAATAATGTTTTTTTAAAGGTTTATTTTTCTCTTTTCTATCTAGATATGTGTGTTCCTTTCTGTGGGTATGTGCAGGTGATACAGGTAGCCTTGGAGCCAGATGCACAGGACCCTTTGGAGTTGACAGATGGTTGTGAGCTGCCTGGGGAGTGCTGGGAGATGTTTGCTAGCAAAGAAAATAGAAAACAATCAGAACATTGGTGTCAGTTGCTGTACAGCCTTGGTTCTGTTACTTCTGTTACAAGGGCTTCAATTTTGCCATCTCTAAAGTGAGATCCCTGCAAGGCTTTTCCAGTTCTTACACACTTACGATGTGTCCTGTGTTGTTCTCTAACTCTGGGTCTTCCTGCTTACTTGGATTGTATAGGACTAGAATTCATGTTCCCTGATTACTTTGTCAGTCTTAATATTACGTATGTTATATTATTATAAATATCACCTCATTTATTTACCTAGAGAACTGAGACATGTACATGAAATGATATTTTGCATTTATTTGTATAGGTTTTATTAACCTCTTAACCTATTTTCTGGCTGCTGGTGCCATTAGTCTGGGAATTGGTTTCTTAGCTTTGTCATCTGCTTTGTGGTTCCTGATTTGCAAACGAAGGTAAGGTTTACTAGAAAGTTTGTCTAAGTCTTTTGTTGTTGTTAAAAATTCAATGAAGGGCTTACCACGGCTATTAAATTTAAATCATTATGATGGGATTGATTCTATAATCTGGGGCTTGGTTAGAGATACTGTGGCTGGAAAAGGTTTTGTGTGCATTATTAAATCGCCCCAAAGAAGGACTAGAGCAATACAACAGGGATCTTTGTGCACTGAGAAATTTTAGGAATAACAAGTCCTATTTTACTTACTGGAAGACATGGGTCTGATTATAATCTAGAAATTAAGGGGGACCCTTCCAGTTTGGAGATTAAGACATGACTGAAGGGAAAGACCCCCTTTCGAGGAGTTAAGAGAACTGACAGAAGGCCTGATGTGGTCTGAAAATGCTCTCCCTCCAGGGCCCCACAAAAGACAAACTAATGCCTTCTTATTTTCAGCTCTAAACTTTTGTATTCCTACTTATTTAACCAGCTCAGAATTTGCATCCTGGTATTTTAAAATTGTAAATTGTAAGATCACTTCCCAAATTTTTCTCCCAGTGATCTGACCTCAGTGGCTGTCTTTCCACCATGGACAAGTCAGAAAGTGTTCATTTCTTCATTGTTTCAACAAACATTCAATGTATGCACAATAAAACGCAAATAATAAAGGGAAATATTTTTAGCTTTCTTCCACTGTTATTGGAATTGAGGATACAACTGTGAACAAGGCAGATAAAGTTTTTGTTTCCTAGACTTGACAGGAGACAGATTGATAAGCAAACATATAAAGTCTGCAAGGAAGGCATGTGCCAGGAACTTTTGTAGTCTGAAGCTTGAGTTAAAACAATAAGACTGGGCCAGGCAGTGGTGGCACACACCTTTAATCCCAACACTTGGGAGGCAGAGACAGGCGACCTCTGTGAGTTCAAGGCCAACCTGGTCTACAGAGTGAGTTCCTGGGCAGCCAGGGCTGTTACACAGAGAAACCCTGTCTCAAACAAGAACAAAATAAGACTGATTATAGATAGATAGATAGATAGATAGATAGATAGATAGATAGATAGATAGATAGATAGATGGATGGATGGATGGATGGATGGATGGATGGATGGATGGATGGATAGATAGATAGATAGATAGATAGATAGATAGATAGATAGATAGAT